GAGAGGAGCACTGGTGGCGGCGGCGGCCGGAGGCGTGCTTTTCCCGAGGCGGGCTGGCGGCGACCGCCTCCCGGTGAGAACCTCGACGGTGAGCGCCCAGGCCAGGCGAGGCGCGCAGGAGGAGGAGGCCCCCCTCGCTTGGGCGGCTTCCCCGGGCGGCGGCGGCGGCGGCTCCTTCCCGCTTTGCCAGTCAGCCGTTGCCTGTGGTAGTGGTCGCTGCCATCCGTCCGCTGGCCCGGCGGCTGAGGAAGGGCCGGGCTTTGCCATGGATCCGGCAGCGCTCCTGGGTTACGGCCCTTTGCTGCTCCTGGGTGAGAAAAGGGGACGGGGGGGGGCTTCCTCGATGCTCCCTGGGGGGGGGTGTTGGTGGTGGTAGGGTTGAGTTTTGCACGAAGGGGCCGGTCGTGAGTTGGATGGAGAGCCCGTGCCCCTTTGGCGCTGGGTGCCAAGGAGCGTTTTTGAAGTCCCCTCCGACGGCTTTGGTCCCCATAGTGGCGTCAAGGAGAGGCGGCCATTCAACAGGTCGGCGTCGGATCCTGTGGCTTTTAAAGACACAGGGAACCCCAAAGTAGCCATGGCAACCCGTACCCTGGCTCTTGTTTTGGTCTTGAGGTCGCCAGCTTCCCTCCCTCCACAGCCCTTCTAGAGCTCTTGAGCCTTTCAGCTGCATCAGGCAGAAACCCGGCAGGTGCAGTGCCTTGAAAAGCTTAACCGGCTGTTGTCCTGCCTGCCATGGGTAAAGCTCTGCTGGGAAAATACATTGGCAGCCCTGTCGCCATCTTCTACAGAAGGTCGTTATGGGGAGAGCCGTCCTATAAGATCAGGCAAAAAAAAAGCAGCCATTCCGAAGTCTTTGAGAAGTACCGGTAATACTGAGACCTAAGTTATGTGGAAACTTTGGATAGTTAGCCTGGGGGCTGTATGTCAGGTTTTTTTTTTTTTTTAACGGAAAGGACCTGATAAGCATTAAAATATGCTGAATAGTCTCTCTACTGTAATCCTAAAGATATGCTATGTTACCTAGTGGTAAGGGGTAAAAGGCACTCTGTGTGTACTTCAGTGAAGATTTTAATTATGTAATGTGGAGGTCAATCCTGGTACTCAAGAAGGGTGCTGGTACTTAGCCTCAGCACAGATTCACTCTTGAGGGTTTGTTTCCAGGCTGGAGGGTGAGCAGCAGGAAGGGGCATTTTTGCTGTGCCAAGTTTTCCCAGTCCATCCGTGGTGGCACTGAGTCCCCCAGTGCTACCTGCCAGGGTACCCACTGCGTGGGGCCAGTTCTCTATATTTAGCTCCGTGTATTTATTTTAAGATGCCTTAGAACCTTGGGGGAATTTGGACCAAATTAGAAGCTAAAAGATGGTACAGCTACTCTGCAGTGCTGGTGAAATATAACAAGTAATTAAAAGGGTTTACAACGTAGTTCATCACAGACACAGCAGGGGTTTTGCTATAACTTGTTGTATCTATTCAGCTTTTGTCAGATGAGCTTTTCTCAAAATAATATCAGTGACTAACAGCCCAGTTCTATTAAAGAACACAAACAGACAGTTCTAAGTTAACTCTTCTTTATATATCCTCATAACAGTTCAAGTGGTTGCATTTATAATTCACAGTATCTTAAGTATCCAAGGATGATTAAAATCAATTAGCATTACAAAACATTTGCTTGTCTGCTCTCGGTTTTGTTTGCAAGATCAATAGCGATCAATTGAGAGGGCTGCCAAGCTAGTTTTAAGTGCTCCTAGGGTGGCCTTTAAAAAAGCTGGAACCTCTTCCAGCCCGGTGACATTTATCTTGGTGTGCTGCCAGGGGGTGAAACTGGATTACATGTTTTTCTGGAACTCCTGGAATGTTTTAATACCAATGCTCTAAGCTGCGTGATGAAATAGCTTGTTGATTCCACTCCATACCTGCACACTTTCTGTGCTAGGATGCTGTCAGTTGTCTGACAGCTTTGCATGAAATAAACAGCAGTTGCACGTTTATAGTCTGGTTCTTATTTCTAGTGCATAAGCAAGAAAAAGACAGCTGGATTGCATGGTTAGACAGCTTGATAATTGCTCTGTTAAAAGCTGATTATTTGTTGCTATGAGATTGAGAGTTTAATGAGCGAGACTGAGTTAAAGGTGTTTATTCATTACAGTTCAGTTACAGCAAAAGAAAAAGGAAGTTACATTTTTATTTGTTTGTTCATGCGTCTTATCATGGGCAGGTATTTATTTACTGTTAATATATCTCCATTGTAATATAAAGAAGGGCACCTGTTTTGAATTGTTAAATCATGTGGACAACTGATTGAACTGGTAAATCAATGTGTGACTGATTAGCCAGAAGTGCTTGAATTAATTGACAGTGCTGTTGATATTGACTTGTGAAACATTTTATTTCTAAGCCTAAAAGCCATGTTTCAGCCCTCATGCTTCGGATGTACTTCAGAAGCTGCTTGCATGGTTGGTGTTCTGTTTTTGGATGCATGAACTCACTATACAGTACATTTGAAATGATTAAACCATTTGTATGTTATACTTCATTCATGATATCATCTAATTTCAGCCAGACCCCTGAGGAAATGAAGACTGGTCATCAGTCCAATTTTGATCCAATAAACAACTGGATTACATGTTTTTCTGGAACTCCTGGAATGTTTTAATACCAATGCTCTAAGCTGCGTGATGAAATAGCTTGTTGATTCCACTCCATACCTGCACACTTTCTGTGCTAGGATGCTGTCAGTTGTCTGACAGCTTTGCATGAAATAAAGGGCAGTTGGACGTTTATAGTCTGGTTCTTATTTCTAGTGCATAAGCAAGAAAAAGACAGCTGGATTGCATGGTTAGACAGCTTGATAATTGCTCTGTTAAAAGCTGATTATTTGTTGCTATGAGATTGAGAGTTTAATGAGCGAGACTGAGTTAAAGGTGTTTATTCATTACAGTTCAGTTACAGCAAAAGAAAAAGGAAGTTACATTTTTATTTGTTTGTTCATGCGTCTTATCATGGGCAGGTATTTATTTACTGTTAATATATCTCCATTGTAATATAAAGAAGGGCACCTGTTTTGAATTGTTAAATCATGTGGACAACTGATTGAACTGGTAAATCAATGTGTGACTGATTAGTGTTTATTCATTACAGTTCAGTTACAGCAAAAGAAAAAGGAAGTTACATTTTTATTTGTTTGTTCATGCGTCTTATCATGGGCAGGTATTTATTTACTGTTAATATATCTCCATTGTAATATAAAGAAGGGCACCTGTTTTGAATTGTTAAATCATGTGGACAACTGATTGAACTGGTAAATCAATGTGTGACTGATTAGCCAGAAGTGCTTGAATTGATTGACAGTGCTGTTGATATTGATTTGTGAAACATTTTATTTCTAAGCCAACAAGCCATGTTTCAGCCCTCATGCTTCAAATGTCTCCAGTATGATGTTATTGCCTTGCGTCTCACTTCAGAAGCTGCTTGGATGGTTGGTGTTCTGTTTTTGGATGCATGAACTCACTATACAGTTCATTTGAAATGATTAAACTATTCGTATGTTATAGTGTACTTCATTCATGATATCATCTAATTCCAGCCAGACCCCTGAGGAAATGAAGACTGGTCATCAGTCCAATTTGGATCCAATAAACAATTTCTTTTAAGTGAAACTGAGTGCAGTTGAACATGAATAGGTAGCCAATGTAAATCATATAAAATACATGGGTCTCCACTAGGGGGAAATGGTGGGAAACAAACAAACAAACTACATGTCTTAATATGGTAGCCAGTGTAAATAATATAAAATACATGATCCAGGTGTCTGACTTGCACAATAATTCTAGTTCTGTACTAGTTGTAAGTTTCTGAACTGCCTTTTAGGGCAGCTCAGGTTGAGCACACTGTGTAGTCTAGTGCGGGTTATTGTGGCTATGAAGTCAACTTTCTCCAGACAGTTCTGTAGCTGCCAAACCAACTTTAGCTGGTAAAAAGTATTAAAACTAATTAAGTATATAATATTTTCGCTAGTTAATTATAGTGTGGGGCTGAACTTGGAGGATTTTATAAATTTAGAGAGAACAGTGAACAATAGTCAATTTATAATAAATCATATACTGTATTCAGAAAAAAAATAAATGACTGCTATGGCTCTTGCTTGATTATTCTTTTGCTGGGTAAAATTTAAGTCTAAGATCAGAGCTGACGTTGTGGTTTCAAGTAAAAGGGGCTCGAAGTTCAGGTAAAAGTTGCCTCCTAGTTCACCTTTACCCATGGCTTTGTGCTACTGCTGGCACAAAATAAAAGCAACAGTTTTCATGCACGTTAGTCATAAGCAGACAAAACGACAAGCCAGGGAACTGGCTTATCTCCCCAAGAATCACTGGCTTATTAGTTATGAGCCACATTCTGGAGCATGTTGCTTGATCCCTCCCCCTGAAAGCTTCTTTAAAGAGGCATTTGGGGAGATGTGTAGGTTTTTAAAAATCTGTCTTATAGTTTTTAATTTTTTAAAAAAATATATAAATACATTTTAGTTTTAAATGTTAATTGCATTGTTTTACATTAATAGCAGATTTTAGATTTTTTTGGTACACTGCCATGGATCTCCACTAGGGGGAAACGGTGGGAAATAAATAAATAAATAAACAAACAAACAAACAAACAAACAAACAAACAAACTACATGTCTTAATAAAATATGTGCTTTCCCTCAGTGACTGGCTTTCTGTGAGGGGTTGTTAAACGGATAATTGTGCCTTGCTGCTTTGAATTTGTTTTTAGTCTTGTTTTTGTTTCCCATGTTGTAGTGTAGTATTTGACCCTTTCTAGTATTTGTATGCTTATTGGTTTTAGCTTTAAATATTGTCTTTTAATAGTGTAAGCCATCAAGAAAGCTGCCTAAGTTCTACACCTATATGCTCAGTAAAACAACTATTGTTGTAATGTGAGTTAATATGTCCTTAAGACAGACTTATTTAAAGCTTTTCTTTCTATCCCCCTCCACCACAAATGAAGGTCTTGCCATCTTCAACTGTGTGGCTGGTAACGGAAATACAACTGAACATGAAGCAAAGACACTGTCCTGCACCTACCCAAATGGAAATTGTACAGGTAAATTTGCGGATAATGGTCACATGTGACTTGCTTTCAAATATACAAGCACATTTTGTAGTACTATCCACATACTCGTATATAAACCAAAATGCTGTATATTTTCAGTAGCAAATAACCATTCAAGCTTTCTTTTTCTAGATGTTCTCTGTTGCCCCTTCTTTTAAATGTCAGTTCCTCTCAAGTCATGAACCTTTACAGAATCCACATCGTTATTCCTGCTGTCATTCCATGTTGCTTTCTCTAAGTAACAATGTACAAATGGCTTCCTAATGAAAGTTTTACTGAAAATTATTAATCATTCAATATTCAGGTTGCTCCCTTCTTTTCTCCTTGGTCGCTGTATCAACCTATGCATTTAACCTATGCATACTGCAATAAGCTGGCGGATTATTAAAAAAAATTAATTGAACATTAGAGTGTAATGCTTAATTGCATGTAGGTAAGATAAAGTCTATACAATTATGTTGGCTCCATCTTGTCTGTGTTCAATCTGGTGAGGGCAAAATTGGACAGTTGAAGTCAAGAGTCTTCAGTTCAAACAAGCATCATCATCATCGTCGTCATCATCATCATCATCATCATCATCATCATCATCATCATCATCATCATCATCATCATCATAGCACTGCAGAGCTGGTAGGGGCCCTAAGGATCATTGAGTCCAGACCCTATCAAGGAGGCACTGTGGGGAATCAAATTCCCAACCTCTGGTTCTACGTCATTTAAATATGGATGTTTTCATTAATGGAAGCTGTTAACTCCAGAACCCAATTAAGTCTATAACGGAGAATGTTCCAAATTTGCCTTTTCTTCTAACAGAATGGAACGTAATCAGTATTCTCACCTATCACTCTCTGCTCAGTGAAGTACCTTGAATTTCACAGAAGAAAAGTGGGATATAAATGTAATAAATAAATTGATCCAGGCTTCTGCTTTGAGCCTTTTCCTGCTAGAAATCTAAACAAGAAGTTACGAGGGAGTGCTGACAAGTAATGAGCCTTACCCAGAATAAATTGAGCTAGGAAGCTATAAATTGCAGGTTGCATTGGCCAATTTGTATGTATTCAATGGTGCAAACATCAACTCCCTATGATTTTAATTTATCTTTCATGTTCAGGTCCAAAGTGAACATGGCAGCACCTCCAGAAAAGTTCAATGTGGAAGAGCATAGGGCCCTAATCAAGCTCCTGTTTCTCCAAGGGAAAGGTGCAAAGCAGATCCATGATGAAATGTCACAAACTATGGGTGACAGTGCCCCTTCATATGCAACAGTTAAACGTTGGGTTGTCAATTTTTAAACTGGCCATTTTGGTGTCGAAAGTGAGAAAGCCAGTGGAAGGCCTGTTTCTGTCTCTGTACCTGCAAATGTGAAAGCCATCCATGACATCATCATGGAGGACTGCCGAATATCAGCCAAAAGTATTGCTACATATCTGAGAATATCACATGAGAGAGTCGGCGCCATTATCCACAACGACTTGGAAATGAGAAAGCTGGCAGCAAAGTGGATCCCCAAACTTTTGACAACCGAACAAAAGAGGAAACGTGTGGAGTCATTGGTGGCTGTTTTGGAACATTTTGCAAGAAATGAGTCAGATTTCCTGGGCAAACTGGTAACTGGTGATGAGACATGGATCTACTGCTATGATCCTGAGACAAAGGAACAGTCTAAGGAATGGAGGCACAGTGGTTCCCCCAGGCCAAAGAAGTTCCGAGTGCAAAGGTTGGTGCAGAAGAAGCAAATGGCAACAGTTTTTTGGGAATAAGAAGGGAGTTCTGCTGGTGAACTACCTCCAACAGGGTTCAACCATCAATGTAAAATATTACTGTGCTTTATTTACAAAGTTGAGGAAAAATATCAAGGAAAAACATCGAGGAAAGCTCTCCAAAGGTGTCATCCTGTTGCATGACAACACCTCGTCACACACTGCAGGTGAAACAATGACAAAACTGACCTCCTTAGGCTTTCAAATGATGCCGCATCCAGCCTATTCTCCCGACCTGGCTCCTTCTGACTATTATCTGCTCCACAAACTCAAAAAACACTTAAAGGGACGACGATTTGGGAGTGTTCTGGAGGCAACTAATGCTGCAAATGAGTGGCTGCACCAGCAGTCGGAAGAATTTTATTTGCAGGGACTTAAGAAGCTGCAGGACAGATGTTGTAAGTGTGTTGACTTCCTGGGAGAATATGTAGAATAGTGTGGCAGTTACAGGTTCCTAGCTCATTTTTTTCTGGGTAAGGCTCAATACTTGTCAGCACCCCCTCGTAGTTTGGTTACTTGGCCTAGTGTTACTGTCCGCCTAGCTTGCTTCAAACTATGACTGCTAATGAGAGTGCAAATCTCGTTTCCAAGCAGACTCTTAAATTGCTCTGTTAAGGTTACCAGGATGGCCAGTGTTCATGCTCTGATGTATGCCTCTGTTCTCCTTGCAAAACTACATGTTTGAAAATATTGGATTCTAAGAGATCTCATTGCTGAGATCATAATATGCCAGGGTTCTGCCTGTGCATTCTTAACAAAGTGTCATTTAGTACCCAGCCTAGTAACCCTATCTGTATAGCTAATTATTCTTTTGTAACAGCATTAACTTTTAACCCCTGTGATGACAGTTTCTGGAATGGGAGGACTTAATCTTCTGTTTTCATGTGCTGTTGGATTTCCAAAGGGTACAGTGTAAAGCATTTAAGAGTTCATAGTTCAATTTTAAAGTGCAGTAGCTTTCATGAATCCTAAATACAGCTAGCATTTTATATGTGTTTACCACCACTGGATAGCCTTGAACATACCCAGGAGCATTTTGAAATGTCTACAGAGAATAAGTAATAATAGTAAATGTTTTAAACTGTTTCCGTTAGATAGATGGAAACAAATAAATAATAAAAATAATGTAGTTTCATATTTTTACAAACAATATACTTTTCTCAATTAGAAATAAGAGAAATTATTGAAAGCATTATTTTTTATTTTCTGGTTGTGTAGCAAATGTCCATTTGTCAGGGCAGAGTCATAGTTTAAGCACCTGTTCAGAGTTAGATGCAAAAGCTGTCATGTAACCAACAAGCACTTTATTTCTGTCTGTCCCTAGACCACTTTGGTATTGCTTAGTTGCTAGTGCCATGGTACAAACCTGCTTGTTGGGCCTTTGAATGTGTGCCCTCTCCTCTCCACAGAGGTTAGAGAAGCTGCATTTGTGAATGTTATTCTCCAGAATCCTCCAGCTGGAATGACCCCTCTAGTTCAGAAAAATAGCCTCTCCACTATAAAAATAGTAGAATGCATGAGTTAGTTGCCATGCTCTGTTCACCAGTCATGCAAGCCAGTGGGAGGAATTTTCTGCTCGCGTGTTGGTGTCAGGTATCTATCTCAAGCATGACATCATCTGTGTGGTGGAATGACGTCTCAAGCATGACATCATCTGTGTGGTGGCTCTTCTGCCACTTAAAGACCAGTAAATTGTGTGAGCTGAAATGAAATGACTCATGGTGCGTCAAATTCTCATGCCAACGCCTTCCCAGTCCCACTTGGCACTAATTCATGTAGCCCAAGACTGGTTGGTGCCTCTATGACAGGGGTGGGCAATTGAAAAATCAAGGAGGGGCACATGAAAATTCTGAACTGTGTTTGGGGGTATGTAGTAATAGGCCCCCAATTTGTGGGTAGTAATAGGCCACCATTGGGTGAGACCCTGCAGTGAACAAACTACAAGGCTGATACAGTGGTGCCCCGCTTGACGACGATAATCCATTCCAGCAAAATTGCGTAGAACGAAATCGTCGTCAAGTGAAAGTAAAAAGCCCATTGAAATGCATTGAAAACCGCTCAGTGCGTTCCAATGGGTGAAATACCTCATCCTAAAGTGAAGATCCGCCATAGGGCGGCCATTTTCCGGTGCCTGTAAAGTGAGGAAAAACAGCGGAGAACCATTTTGAAATAGCGGGTGGCCATTTTAAAACCCGACGACAGCTGTTTTGATCGTCGTAAAGCGAAAAATTGGTTCCCGAAGCAGGGAACCGATCGTCGCCAAGCAGATTTTCCCCATCTAAACACCGTTTTCCGATCGCAATAGCAATCGCAAAATACTCATTGTGAAGTGATTTCATCATCTACCAGGGTAAGCGTCTAGCGGGGCACCACTGTATAGTTTACTCCCTAAATGTTTTAGGAAGTTAACTATGTGAGCGTTGTAATTCGTTCACCGCAGGGGGGGAGAAAAAAACCCCCTGACACTGTGCTAACTTACCTTTCTTCCGTTCCCTCGCGGCCTTCCTCTCCGACTGTCTTCTATCCCACGCAGGTGACGTGATGCGTCATCATGTTGCCTGCGCAAGGATCGCTTCCAGCCTCTTGAGCCACAGGCTCCACAGCCAAAACTCACAGTCAAAACTTGTGAGATCCCAGCATTGGATCTCACGAGTTTTGCTTACTGCTGTGCTGGGTGACCGGAGCCGGAGCTCCGGCTCACTCAGCAGCGAACAGGCGGGCTGGACCGGAGCGACAACTGGCGGGCCGAGACAGGAGCGGCTCTCAGTCCGTATGTGGCCTGCGGGTCACACTTTGCCCAGGTCTGCTCTATGACATGGAAGCTGCAGAGCAAAACCAGTTTTATGGTGACCTCCCCCTACCCCCGGCTCCCTGTGGCATTGTTAGCTGCTCTGTAGCAAAGCCTTTTTATTTTTGGCTATTTGTTTAATTTTTTAGTGGTCCAATAAAATTATCATTTACTCTTGCATCTAGCAAAGCAATGCTCCTGCTTAGAGGATTATGAATATGCTACCTGTTTTTGTGTATGTTTGGAAGCATGAATTCTTCTTGATTTTTAAAGAATGCATTAGGGTCCAATGACTTTTTAAAATAAACACATTTAAAGCTTCAGGTGACAAGGAAATTCATTTTAGCTGCATACATGGAGAGGTTTCTTCAAGAGCCTTAACAGGGCTGACAAAGTGCTTGTTTTTCTCATTATGTCACAACAGCTGAGGTCAAAAATGAAAAGTCAAAATTCTTTCAAAGTTCACCACTACTACTTGTTTGTTCCCTCAAACCTATATAATAATTAAAGAATTATACTCTGGAAAGAAACAGTGTAATCCACCAATTCATGTACATAGTTATTATCAGGGCAACAGATCCATCCAAATTCACTTGAATAATCTGTGTGGCAGAAGTGTAATGTATGTTTCACTTTTTCGTGTTTCTAGATGACAGTACAGGACTGCGAAGGAGGGGACATTTTTCTAAGTGTCCCGAGGAATATAAACACTATTGTGTCAAAGGAAGATGCCGTTATGTTACCGTAGAACAGGTGCCTGCTTGCCAGTACGTGGACGTTCTAAAGCACTGAAAATATGTAATTTATCCAGGGCTAACTTCTGCTATGATGGACTCTCTGGAAATATTTGGCTAATGCCATCTATGCTAGCTGAGCCTGCTTTTCCTCAATTACTCTTTGAGTTTGACCTCTTAATCCAAAGTGTGAAAAAATATTTTGAAAGGCATAATGTAGATGCTCCTGTTGAAAGACTTTTCAAATTTAGGTCTCAGCCGAAATGGTCCTTAATTTTAATGAGTAATGAGAACCTTCTCCAATAAAGGATGAAAATTAGTTTACTACTATCTCAACACTTGGGAGTGAGAAGTTCTAGGAAAGGATATTTTCCTTCCGAATCAGTCTTTTTCAGGAAGTGTATCCCATTTGGAATAGACAGACTCGGGCTCCCTGGGATTCTATCTGGGATAAAATTTGGAGCAGGCCCTGCCCTTACTTATGCTTTGTCTTTCTGTTACATGGAGATATAACATGGGGAGGCTGAACTGGGAGATCAGTAAATGATGCAGTGGGAACCCAACAACACAGACCACTTCTTTCTTCCCTACTAGTGTAGTGTTTGTGTCAGTGGTCGTGGTAGTGGGAGGTAGCAGAGGAACCAAGTTATGGTATGGGAGACAGAGATTAAGCACTGGATACCATTTTAAGCACAGTTAAGCAGAGGCTTCTTGGGAACATTAACAAATTTCAATTTTGAATAATGGGCTGCTATAACATATAATTGGCCCATAGGCTTTAGCCTTCCAAGGGAAGGACTGGGATTTGCCATGCATTTTGTATGTTGTTCTCTAATTCTGTTATTTCTGCTTTGCAGCTGTGAAAAAGGTTACACTGGTGCAAGATGTGAGAGGCTGGATTTGTTTTATCTGAGAGGAGACCAAGGTCAAATTGTGGTGGTTTCCTTGATAGCTGTTATGGTGCTGCTTATAATCCTGATTGCTTCTATGTGCATTTGCACTCAGTAAGTATGTATGAAAAAATAAGGAAATTATTTTTGTGACTCTTGGGTTCTACTTGAACCGTTTGAAGGCTTATCAGCAAACAGGTTGTAGTATTCTAAATATAGCTATATTCTCCTCTCCAAAGAGGAAATACTGGTTGTCCCCTATATGTCAGTTTTCTGGGCCCAGGATTAGCTTTTAACCCCAACCAGAAACATTAAATCCCTTTAATGTTTTTAACGTGTGTAGCATTATATTAGATAATATATTAGTGGTGCCTGTGTATCTGTACATGCATGCATTATCTTGGCTGTATCTAGACCTCTCATAAGAAGAATCCTAGTGAATGAGATCAAAAAGCAAGCTCGTGTGATCAGCCTGATGATTACAGCACATGTGGTCAGCCTGATTTTCCAGGGTTCCACAATACATGTAAAGCCTTGGAAAAATTATGTATATTACTAGAAACAAATGTTTAGAGCAGAAAGATAGGGTAAAATGAATGAAAGCATGAATGAACACATGAATGCTTGCTAGGTATTTTATCCTTCAAGCAAAGCCCTCCCAATGTTTTACCCCAATGGTTCCCAACCTTGGGTAGCCCAGATGTTCTTGGACCGCAGCTCCCAGAAGCCTTTATCACAGCTGTGCTGGCCAGGGTTTGTGGGAGTTTCAGTCCAAGAACACCTGAGATACTCAAGGTTGGGAGCCACTGTGTTAAACTGCAGTTCCAAAACCCCTCAACCAACATACCTGGGAAATTCCAGGAGTCATAGTTCTACAAAGGCATAACATACCACCAGGCTGGGGTGTGTGTGTTGTAAATGTTGGTCAAATTACCTGTTTCTGCACCTATTTAATTATATAGATCTGTTTTACAATTTCTCTTTCAAGTTATTGTCGAAAGAAACGTAGGAAGAGAAAAGAGGAAGAATTGGGAACATTTGAAAAGGGACTGCCTGTTAAAACTGAAGATATTCTAGAAACAGACATTGCATGAAGGTAAGGGACCTTCTATAGTCTTTGAGGCTCTAAATGAAGTTGTAGAACTAGCTGTTCTCTTGTATTTTCTACTCCATTGAGCTCAGGCTGATCAACAGTTTCCCCAGAAGACTGAGCTTGTTCTGTATTCAGGGCATCCACTACATCCTTGCTAATTGCATATTGCTAAAGGCATTTGGCCATGCAATGGGAAGATAACAGTTTCTGGATGTTACCACTTGCACCACACCAGTTAGATCATAATCGCTTAATTGTTTTACTAGGTCATCCAATTCCTTAACATCCTTCATTTGTTAAAGTGTATGTAGCTGCATATGAGACCTGGTTTCATTCTCTGTCAGGGTGCTTTCTTGTCATAACTGGAAATTTACTGGAAATGCCTGCCTCACTTTGCCAAATGATAGGGCCAGCCTCATTATTCAACGATTCTATAGACAACCACCTGGCATATATTCTTTGATTTGTGTTCCTGCATTGAGCAGGGAGTTGGACTTGATGGCCTTATCAGCCCCTTCCAACTTCATTATTCTGTGATTCTGTATTTACAGAAATCAGAATATCATTTGCTAGCTATAAGAAAAGTCTGCCCATTTAGCAGGCCAAGTATGTGATGTTCTCAAAAATCCTCTGCTTATGTTGAACAAGTGTCACAACCTGCTGCTAAAGATTGAAAAATCTTTGAGGTCTGCTCTGGCATTCTACCTGTTTATAAGGTGATTTTACAGTAATGTTTTTCTCTCTTAAGAATGGAGGGAATTTTTAAAAAAAGAATCTTACTTCAGAATCAAAAAGGTGCAGATGCAGGAGGACTGATCACATTCATGCTGCTTCCGGTTGCATAGAAAGATGTAATATAAATGTTGGAAGTCATAAGAGTGCAGTGCAATGCACACTTACCATTGAATACCGTATTTTTCGCTCTATAAGACGCATTGCATAGAAAGATGTAATATAAATGTTGCAAGTCATAAGAGTGCAATCCAATGCACACTTACCATTGAATAAGTGCCTTGTATGGAAACAGTGGAACTTATTTCTACATAGGACTGAATTGCACAATAAACATCTTGTTGATTACTTTTTCTCTTAATCCCACAGATTGTCAAAGGTGCCTGCTGGCAGGTTCCAAATTCTCAAATGCCCTTTTCTTCTTGATAATTTCATAAGGGCTAGTGACTTGAAAATAAAGGTGGAGATAAGAACAAATGTGTACTGTTTTCTGTTCTTTTGTAACTCTTCATTGTATGACATGGAATAAAACTGTATCAAGTGTAGGAAAGGCAGGAATTTTCAGAAGTGCCTAATGGATTTTAGGAGTGAAACTCTTCACATCCTTTTATCTTTGGCAAAAGTAAAGGGAAGCAGATGTTCTATTTATAATTAGCATAGACAGAAATAGTGCCTAGTAGTATATATTTATGTATAGCAAAATCAGTGAAACAAATGTGTACTGTTCTCTGTTCTTTTGTAACTCTTCATTGTATGACATGGAATAAAACTGTATCAAGTGTAGGAAAGGCAGGAATTTTCAGAAGTGCCTAATGGATTTTAGGAGTGAAACTCTTCACATCCTTTTTATCTTTGGCAAAAGTAAAGGGAAGCAGATGTTCTATTAGCATAGACAGAAATAGTGCCTAGTGTTATATATTTATGTATAGCAAAATCAGTGAGTCAGTGTCTTTAGGAACAACTTTAATGGGTAACTAGATCAGAATGTTGTATTTTTTAAAACAACTATAAAATTAATTGATACAGTGTTTTTTGTTTTTAATGTGGCAAAGTTTCATTATATTGGTTAATTTCAAAATGTATATTTTATATTCTTGTTTGGCATAATCTTGACAGTGTTTGCCAGTGTGGGAGTTGTGACCCCAGGAGAATCACAGAATGTTTTCTGGAGGGTCATGAATCGCTTTCTATGTGTTGTAGCCTTTGTTAAATAATTTTTTCCTTGATCTTTCAGAGTGGGATATTAAAGTTAGCATGTATGTGTATGTATGAGAAATAGGCCTCTTGAGGGAGAACGAAGCCTCTACTTTCGAAGCTTTACCCCATTAAATATGCCTTTTTATGCAAACATGGCAGGAGTGGTGGTGCTGCAGGTTACTTGGCTATTATAAAGGGGGGTACTACTACTCTAAAAGAATAATTGTTTTAGGAAAATGTCAGTGATTGTGCATATCTTGTCACTTAGGTGTTTGAAGGACATAAAAGATCCTTTTAGGATCATAGCTCTGATATACCTTCTTTAGCATAGCTAAATATTTATTCAGAAGCTTAATGTTCCTTTTGTAAAGGAACATTAAGGATAGCAAATTGTGCTTCCAAAGCATGCCACACTGATAAATGTATACCATACTAGGACTTCATGCTACTCGAATGCAAAGTTTGTTGAAATTGCAAAACAGGATATCTTGTCATTATTTTACTGTATTGTTTTCATGGCTTCTCCACTTGATTGAGAAGACATGGTCTAGAGCGGCAGGGGAAAAATCAAATCAATCAATCAATCAATCAATCAATCAGTCAATCAATCAATCAATCAATCAATCAATCAATCAATCTGTCTGTGCCCCAGTGGTGTGGTAACTTTTGCACTATACATCTTAGTGCTAACATGATGTTACCACATAACAGATGGGGATCAGGGAGGAAAACATTGAGGTACCGTTGTATGGATCTTTGCCACCACTCAGTCTTTTAGAAACTGTTTTGAAAAGCTATCTTGTGGTACTGTACTTGCCTTCTCTTATCTTACTTGCATAAGGATAAGTTGGTGCAGCAGAGGTGGAGGGAGAAAAAAAGCAGGTGATGTACTGTCATTTAAATTCCTGTACAGTTATACGTCAGGGCCCTTAAAGGGGCATCACTGTGGAACAATGCTGTCCCAGAGTCCTGGAAGAAGTTTGGGGGAATCAAAGGGGCAGATGCCAGCCACAGCTATATTTATTTGGCTTCCAGGATCATGAAAAGGACTAGATCCATATGGCTGTGTTGTGCTTTCCTGCATGTTTGGACAATGTATTTCCCCCTAACACTGGGCTTACTATTAATAATTCTAAAATTTATGGCTAGATGAGAATCTCTTCTCAATTTCACGTAGAGGGCTGCATGTCCTCAAAAGAAGGAAATGCCATTTTTCAGGCAACAAATTATTCAAGATCTCTTAAAGGTAAAGGTAAAGGTTCCCCTTGACAATTTTTGTCCAGTCGCGTTTGACTCTAGGGGGCGGTGCTCATCCCCGTTTCCAAGCCATAGAGCCAGCGTTTTCTCCGAAGACAATCTTCCGTGGTCACATGGCCAGTGCGACTTAGACACGGAACGCTGTTACCTTCCCACCGAGGTGGTCCCTATTGATCTACTCACATTCGCATGCTTTCGAACCGCTAGGTTGGCGGGAGCTGGGACAAGCGACGGGAGCTCACTCCATCATGTGGATTCGATCTTACGACTGCTTGTTTTTCTGACCCTGCAGCAAAGACTTCTGCGTTTTAGCCCACAGCGCCACCACGTCCCTTACGCTTGCAGCAAAGACTTCTGTGGTTTAGCCCACAGCACCACCACGTCCCTCAAGATCTCTTACTCATTCTAAACATAAGGCAGTCATGTGACATTTCAAAAATGCATTATTACGTACTGTATACTATTATGAATGGTGGTGGGGAAAACTACTGAAGTACCTTAGCTGCATATGTTTCTAGGAAAAGGCAGTTTTTCTGCTCAATTGAACTGCAACCTTGAGAAGAAAACATTTAAACTGTTTGCTGTGAAAGACCACTTTAATTCTTTATGTAAGACTGTATAAAAAGATACTAGGGGTTCTGATCTGCATTGTGGCTGCACCTGTAAAATTGAATGTGTGTCCATTTTTCTGGAATAATAGCCCCTGTATGGAAGAACATATTTTGTGGCTATATAGTCTATATTCTTTTCCTGTCAGCTGCACTCCCCAGATAAAACTATACAATTCTTGGTGTTCCTAAATATTTTAGTACAGTATATCTTTTCATGTGACAACACTGAAGAAATGACACTTGGCTACAGTGTAAAGCAGTGAGTATACAGCTTGTATAACTGTAAATCTGCTGTCCCCTTAAAATAACGCAACACACAGCCATTAATGTCTAAACCGTAGGCAACAAAAGTTAGTACACCCCTAAGTGACAATGTCCAAATTGGGCACAAAGTGTCAATATTTTGTGTGGCCACCATTATTTTCCAGCACTGCCTTAACCCTCTTGGGCATAGAGTTCACCAAAACACAGGTTGCCACTGGAGTTCTTATCCATGACAACATCACAGAGCTGGTGGATGTTAGAGACCTTGCGCACCTCCACCTTCCATTTCAGGATGCTCCACAGATGCTCAGTAGGGTTTAAGACTGGAGAAACGCTTGACCAGTCCATCACCTTTACACTTAGCTTCTTCAGCAAGGCTGTGGTCATTTTGTAGAGTACCACAGGACATGAAGGATGCAAACATTGTCACACTGTATAAGAACAAAGGAGACGGATGATTGCAATAACTACCGTGGCATCTCTCAGTGTTGTAGGGAAGCTGCTTGTCCGTTTTATGCTGAAGAAACTCCAGGTGCTTGCAGACAGAGTCCAGAATCACGCTGTGGATTTCAAGCTAATAGATCCACCACTGACATGGTATTTTCCCTCAGACAGTTGC